GCATCTGGGCCTCCGGCATGTGCCGGAGATGTTCCGTTCAGTTGCCGTACGGACGTGGAGAAGATGAATTGCCTCCCTGTTTCAATGGGAAAAGCAGGTTGAGGTGAAAGGAGCGCATCTCAAGTGAAACCATGTCGCAACAGTCTCCTCTGCATTTTGCTCCAACAGTTTGGAAGCTACATTCCAGAAAAAAAAAAACGACTGAGACTCCGAAAATTTTCGACGAGGATTGCCCGTTGAAAAGACACACTGCGATGCATGGTGTCCCGGAGACATATACACCATTTTCTCACGATCTGTATATATATAGGGAGACGGTGGTGCTTGCCGCTCCTCCAAGAGGTGGAAGAAAAAAAGCTGGGTTAACGGTGATTGCTCGCCCTTGAGTGTAGCAGGTTGCCTTAGCTGTCTTCCATCGGCCCATCTGCTGGGTCTCTGGCCTCAGCAGCACCAGAAGCAATGCATGAGGCTCTGCTCTCTGCTATTTCCATTCTGAAGTGAAGTTCACACAGCTAACTCTCTGAACCATCTATTATAAGGAGCAACAAACCGACATCGGGTTCTCTGGCTTAAAGAGGCAGCAGCAGGATCAGAAGCAATGCACGATGCTCCTCTGCTGTCCGCCGTTTCCATTCTGACGTGAAGTTCACGCAGCTAACACTCTAAACCATCTATTATAAGGAGCAACAAACCGACATCGGTTCTCTAGCTTGAAGAGACAGCAGCAGGATCAGAAGCAATCCACGATGCTCCTCTGCTGTCCGCCGTTTCCATTCTGATGTGAAGTTTACGCAGCTAACTCTCTAAACCATCTATTATCAGGAGCAACAAACCGACATCGGTTCTCTAGCTTCAAGAGTCAGCAGCAGGATCAGAAGCAATGCATGATGCTCTTCTGCTGTCCGCCGTTTCCATTCTGACGTGAAGTTCACGCAGCTAACTCTCTAAACCATCTATTACAAGGAGCAACAAACCGACATCGGTTCTCTAGCTTAAAGAGTCAGCAGCAGGATCAGAAGCAATGCATGATGCTCTCTGCTGTCCGCCGTTTCCATTCCGACGTGAAGTTCACGCAGCTAACTCTCTAAACCATCTATTACAAGGAGCAACAAACCGACATCGGTTCTCTAGCTTAAAGAGGCAGCAGCAGGATCATAAGCAAGCATGATGCTCCTCTGCTGTCCGCCGTTTCCATTCTGACGTGACTTTCCGCAGCGAAGTCTGTGAATTATCTATTAGGAGCAACAAACCGACATCGGTTCTCTAGCTTAAAGAGGCAGCAGCAGGATCATAAGCAACGCATGATGCTCCTCTGCTGTCCGCCGTTTCCATTCTGACGTGACTTTCCCGCAGCGAAGTCTGTGAATTATCTATTAGGAGCAACAAACCGACATCGGTTCTCTAGCTTAAAGAGGCAGCAGCAGGATCAGAAGTAATGCATGATGCTCTGCCGTTTCCATCCTGACTTGACTTTCACGCATCTAAATCTCTAAACCATCTATTAGGAGCAAAAAAACCGACATCAGTTCTCTAGCTCAAAGAGGCAGCAGCAGGATCAGAAGCAATGCATGATGCTCTGCTGTCTGCCGTTTCAATCCTGACGTGACTTTCACGCAGCTAAATCTCTAAACCATCTATTAGGAGCAAGAAAACCGACATAGGTTCTCTAGCTTATAGAGGCAGCAGCAGGATCAGTAGCAACGCATGATGCATTGCCAAGCTCCGCCCAGTTGACTTTGATGGCGATGGCGCCAAGAGACGATGGGGTGTTTTCGGCCGATATGCTGCCGGCAGAGTGCTTAAGTCCCAAAAAACGACTGAGTCTTCGAAAATTTTCGACGAGGATTGCCCGTTGAAAAGAGACACTGCGATGCATGGTGTCCCGGAGACATATACACCATTTTCTCACGATCTATATATATAGGGAGACGGTGTTGCTTGCCTCTCCTTGCTCCGAGGTGGAAGGAAAAAAAAGCTAGGTTAACGGGGATTGCTCGCTCTCGAGTGTAGCAGGTTGCCTTAGCTGTCTTCCATCGGCCCATCTGCTGGGTCTCCGGCCTCTGTTGCCGTCACAGTACGAGCTGCGGTAAGTCTGGGCCGGCGCAGGGAATGTAGTTAGCTGCCACCATGCTGCTTGCTTTCCTTCTGCCGCCGTGCCCCGACCTGCCTTTGATGCGGCTACCCTTCTATTGTTTCAAGTGTCATATCATTCACCGTGCGATCACGTCTCCAGCTTGCCCATGACAGCAGCAGCATCGAGTTGTGCTCACGACACTCGATCGGTCTGAGAATGGGAATGAAGCTGTAGAACAAACCGGCATCGGTTTGTTAGCCGAAAGAGGCAGCATCAGAAGCAATGCCATGATGCTGTCCTGCCGGCAATCATCATCAGCTGCAGCAGCTAGCTAGCCAGCCAACCATGCAGGAGGCTACTGCTACAGCAAGCTTGGGCGACGGTTGAAGCTTCCAAGGCCTCACGTCTCCAACAGGAGCTAGCTCCCTCCCAGCAGCTGCCATACTGTGCCTCTGGCCATTATGGGAGATAGCTGGAAAACAGCAGGAGATAGCTTCCTATCTATCTATACCTACCTGGTTGATCCTGCCAGTAGTCATATGCTTGTCTCAAAGACTAAGCCATGCAGGTGCAAGTACAAGCTGAAACCGCGAAACCGCAAACTGCTCATTAAACCAGCCTTGTTTCATTGGATCTGTATACCCACTTACTTGGATAACTGTGGTAATTCTAGAGCTAATACATGCATTACGTCTCTGACCGCAAGGGAAGAGCGCTTTTATTAGTTTAAAACCGGTCGGGCCTCGGTCCGTTAACCCGTGTTGAATCTGAATAACTTTTTGCTGAGCGCACGGTCTCTGCACTGGCGCTGTGTCTTTCAAGTGTCTTACTTATCAGCTCTCGATTGTCGGTTATGCGCCTACATTGGCGGTAACGGGTAACGGGGAATCAGGGTTCGATTCCGGAGAGGGAGCCTGAGAAACGGCTACCACATCTAAGGAAGGCAGCAGGCACGCAAATTACCCACTCCCGGCACGGGGAGGTAGTGACGAAAAATAACGATGTGAGACTCATCCGAGGCCTCGCAATCGGAATGAGTACACTTTAAATCCTATAACGAGGATCAATTGGAGGGCAAGTCTGGTGCCAGCAGCCGCGGTAATTCCAGCTCCAATAGCGTATATTAGTGTTGTTGCGGTTAAAAAGCTCGTAGTTGAGCTTCAGTTCTGGACTGACGTTTCACCGCCGATGGTGCTTACTGTCACGCTCCGAACGGTTTGAACTAAAGCCGCCCGCCGGCTTGCACGGGGTGCTCTTCACCGAGTGTCCCGAGTGGCCGGCACAATTACTTTGAAAAAATTAGAGTGCTCAGAGCAGGCTAAGCGAAGGGCCTGAATGGTGTTGTGCATGGAATAATGGAATAGGACCTCGGTTCTATTTTGTTGGTTTTCGGAGCCTGAGGTAATGACTAATGGGGACAAGCGGGGGCATTCGTATTGCGACGCTAGAGGTGAAATTCTTGGACCGTCGCAAGACGAACTACTGCGAAAGCATTTGCCAAGGATGTTTTCATTAATCAAGAACGAAAGTTAGAGGTTCGAAGGCGATCAGATACCGCCCTAGTTCTAACCATAAACGATGCCAACTAGCGATCCGCCGGCGTTAATCCCATGACCCGGCGGGCAGCTTCCGGGAAACCAAAGTTTTTGGGTTCCGGGGGAAGTATGGTTGCAAAGCTGAAACTTAAAGGAATTGACGGAAGGGCACCACCAGGAGTGGAGCCTGCGGCTTAATTTGACTCAACACGGGAAACCTCACCAGGCCCAGACACTGGAAGGACTGACAGATTGAGAGCTCTTTCTCGATTCGGTGGGTGGGAAACGGTCCCTTGGGGAAGGAAAACTTTGGCGGTGCCCTCTGTCGGCTCGCAGAATGGACCCAACCCAAGGTTACCCCGGGGGCTGCGACTAAAGGGAATTTAGTGCCGGCTCTCCTTTTCCAAATACAGAACACCCGAATCCCCGATTCCCCGTCCCGAATCGCTTTTTTAGACGACTTGCGTACCGGCCCAGGGCGTTGTAGGTGGGGGAAGCAGCACCCCTCACTGCGATCCCCCCTAAGATTTCCCCCTCAAAGGCGGGGAATTTTCGTCCTCTGCTTGTAAAAGGGGGGAATCTTTGCAAAACGGGCCAAAAATTTGATCTCGGGAAAGAGGGAAAAAAAAACGGGAATGAAAGGGGGCACAGCTCAAGGGGAAAACCCCTAGTCCCAACAGCTCCCCCTTCAGCTTGTCACCCCCAACATTTTTTTTGGTAGTTGAAGAGGCAGCACAGAAAGAAAGCGAAAGCAGCACATCAAAAGCAATGCACGATCCCTCTACGGGCCCCCTTTTCCCCATTCTGACGTAAATTTTTAAACAGCAAAATCTCAAAAACCATCTTTATAAGGAGAACAAACCGACATGGGTTCTCTAGCAAAAAAGGGGCACAGCAGGATCGAAGCAATGCATGATGCCCTCTGGGTGTTGCCGTTTCCATTTTTGACGTGAAGTTCACGCACCAAAAACCCCTCAAAACCCAAACCATTAAAAGGAGCAAAAAACCCGACTTCGGTTCTCTATTTTAAAAGAGGCAGCAGCAGGATCAGAAGAAAATGCATGTTTCTCTGCCCCCGGGCAATAAAACATCAAATCATCTCATCCCACCACCAGCAGCAAAGCTAGCTAGCCCAGCCATCCAAGGCTACTGTTTTCCCAAAACCTTGTTCCCGGAAATTTTCCGCGGCAGCCCCCCCCGAAGAGATGGATTCCCGCCGGGGGAAAACTTACCCCAGGTAAAAAGTACTGTGCCGGGCCTCTGAGAGGGGGAAACCCCCGCCGAGGTTTTTGGGTGTTTCCGGCCGGCCGAAATCGGGCCCTTTGGGGTTTGGGAACCGGAGATGTTCCTTTAAAATTCCCCGAAAGGCCCTTTAGAGAAGATTGAATTGCCCCCCGTTTCAAGGGGAAAAAGGGCGGGTTTGAGGTGGAAGGGGGCGCGCTCAAGTAAAACCCCATGTCGAAAACGGCCCTCCTCTGGTTTTTTGCTCCAACATTTTGGGAAAATACATTAAAAAAAAAAAAAAAAAAAACGATCTGAGACTCCAAATTTTTTTGGGACGGGGTTTTTGCCCTTGAAAAACACTCTGCATGCATTTTTGCCCCGGGGAAATTACCCCATTTTCCCCTCACATCTTTTATATTTTAATATTTTAAAATATTTATATGGGGAAAACGGTGGTGCTTCCCGTCCTCCAAAGGGGGGAAAAAAAAAAAAACGGGGGTTAATGGGGGATTGCCCCCCTTGAGTTGGGGGGCGGGTTTTTTCCCTTTTGGGCGTTTTCCCCACCCCCCACTGCCCGGGCCCGGGCCCGGGCCATCTGGGCCTCCGGCATGTACCGGAGATGTTCCTTCATTGCCGAAACGGGGAGGGGTAGGGACAAGAGGGGGAATTGCGCCCCCGTTTAAAACGGGAAAAGCGGGTTTTGAGGTAAAAAGGACCCCCGCATCTAAGTAAAGCCTTTTGTCGCAACAGTTCCCTCTGCGTTTTGCTCCAAATTTTGGGAACTACATTCAAAAAAAAAAAAAAAACGACGAAAAAAACCTCCAAAAATTTTTCCCGGAACGGGGGGGGAATTTCCCCGGGGGGGGTTAAAAAGGGCCCAAAACTGGATGATTGGGTCCCGGAAATATAAAAACCATTTTCCCCAACGATTTTATATAATGGGGAACGGGGGGTGCTTGCCGCCCTCCAAAGGTGGAAAAAAAAACCCTGGGTTAAGGTAAAATTGCTCGCCCTTAAAGTTGGGGCAGGTTGCCTTACTGTCTTCCATCGGCCCTTTGGCGGGGGTCTCCGGGCCCCAGGCCATCAAAAGCAATGCATTAGCTCGGGCCTCCTGCTATTTAAATTCTGAAGTGGTTCACACGGGAAAAACCCTCTCTAAACCATCTTTTTAAAAGGGGAACAAACCGACATCGGTTCTTGGTTTAAAAGAGGCACCCAGCAGGATCAGAAGAAATGCACGTTTGCTCCTCTGCTGTCCGCCTTTTTCCCAAATTCAAAAGTGAAGTTCACGCGGGTTTAACACTCTAAACCATCTTTATAAGGAGAAACAAACCGACATCGGGTTCTCTAGCTTGAAAGAGACAGCAGCAGATCAGAAGCAATCCACGATGCTCCTCTTTTTCCCCGCCGTTTCCTTTCTGATGTAAAGGGTTTACCAGCTAAAATCTCAAAAACCATTCTATTACCCGGAGAAAAACAAACCGACATCGGTTCTCTAGCTTAAAGAGCAGCAGAAAGGGTTCAAAGCAATGCTTTAAGCTCTTCTGCTGCCCGCCGTTTCCATTCGGGACGTGAATTTCCGCGGGCTAACTCTCAAAAAAACCATCTTTTTTATAAGGGAGCAACAAAACGCAATGGGTTTCTAGTTTAAAAAAGGGGGGCACCCATTTTGGGATCAGAATCAATGCACTTTGCTCCTCTTTTCCCGCCGTTTCCCCTTTTCCCCCGGGGGGAAAGTTCACCAGTTACACTCAAAAAACCATCATTAAAGGAGAAAACAAACCGACATGGGGGCTCTTGCTTAAAGAGGAAAAGCAGCGGGGTTCAAAAGGAAGATGATGCCCTCTGCTTTCTGCCTTTTTCCATTCTGACGTTAAGTTCAGGGCAGCTAACTCTCTAAACCATCTTTTATAAGGAAAACCCAAATTTGGCCCACGGTTTCTTACCCTTAAAAAGAGGCAGCGCAGGATCAGAACCCGGGCAGGGGTGATCTGCTCCCGGGGCAATCATCATAAACATCACCACCCCAGCAGCTAGCTAGTAGCTAGCTACTACCACCCGCCCCCAGCCACCATCCAAAAACTTTGGTTGGGGGGAAAGGGGTTTCCCGGCGCCGCCCCCCGGGAGAGATGATGATTCCCCCCGGCCGGCCGGAAGTTAAACCGAGGAAAAATTTACGGGTGGGCCGGGCCTCGGGAGCCTTTTTTTGCCCCAAAATGGGTTTAAATTGGGTTTTTTCCCCCGGGCGGAAATCTGGGCCTCCGGATGTCCCAAAGGGGTTTCCGTTCAGTTGCCGTACAAAGGTGGAGAAGTTTGAATTGCCCCCCTTTTTTCAAGGGAAAAGCGGGGTTGGGGGGGTTGAAAAGGGACGCATCTAAAGGGAAAAAACCAGGGTCGCAACAGTCTCCTCTGCTTTTTTGCCCCCAACGGGGGGTTTGGAAGCTACCTTCCGGGAAAAAAAAAAAAAAAGGGGGGGACTGGGGAAACTCCAAAAATTTCGACGAGGATTGCCCTTTAAAAAGCCCACACTGCGATGCTTTGGTTTCCCCGGGGGGACATATCCCAAAAAATTTTCTCAGGGAATCTGTATATATTTAGGGAGGGGTTTGGTGCTTGGGGCCCCCCTCCAAGAGGGGGGAAAAAAAAAAAGCGGGGGTTAACGGGGAT